TTGATGCAAACTTTCTTGTAGCGTGGATATCGCACCTCCATGTCGCTTTCAGCGTCTCATTGCTGCCTTCATTCCGCTCAATGACACATGCCATACGGAAAACATCCGGCGGTGCAAAATCACAGCATCCACGCCGTGCAAATCTTCGAAAAGCCAGGGCTGACGAGTGTCACGTAGTTCTTGTTCACATTATCGGCGATATTTTCCTGTCTCCGTTGTCTCCTGTGTTCCAAGTCTCCAAAATTCTGAACAGAATATCATCTGTGGCTCCAGCTCTTATGCTACTGAGTTTTGCTTGTTCCCATCAATATTGTTGTTCAGCTGGTAGCAATCAATAAGATCATGTCTTTAGCGGTTCTTGAGGATAGAGCGCTGGATGAATGAGGCCTAATGTCATAAATATTTGACATTGCCTTCACAGTTCTGTAATATTTTAAGTGCTTTAATTGTTACTTTAAATGACATTTATTACTCTATTAAAGTCACGTACTCCAATTCTTTAATACTGTGTCAGTATTGTGTTTCTGTAAACCAAATAACGTCCAATCCTTCCGTCCGACAGTAAACGATTTCCAGCTACATGCATAACACCCCCAGGGCTCCGGGAGTTTTACTCATCAACCTTGGGCTCCTGCTTTATAAATTAAAGATAAACTGATGAGCTTCATCTTCTACAAAATCGTGGTTGTACGGAGCTTGAACTTCGAAAAGCTGGAATATCAATTTTTGTGGAATGTATCCAGTAGAAGTGTATGGCCTTCGGAACCAACTTCGAAAGACTGAGACACGTTGGTCTTGTTGCCGGTACGATTCCCCAAGAAGAAACCAGCATTCTGATTCACACAGAAGCTTGTGACATAATATGTTATGCATTTGGATACTCATACTGTTGCCTTCTTATTATCACTTCTTACCATGCATACAGAAGGTACTAGGTGTAATTTGTGTAATGGTTAATTGTAGCCCATTACACGTGGTCCCACTGAGGGAAGATCAGAATAGGGGATCGACGACTGTCAGATAGACGGGTCGGAACTACTTGTCTGTCAACCACTGCCACTTGCTTAAATATATTTAGCCGTCCCGAATAATCAGAGTGAGCGCACGCTTTGCTCTAGCACATCAGATGCAGAATCATTACTTTAACAGATTGTGCAGTGCTGGATGCATCAAATATTAGTATTGTGCTACAGACACCACAATGCCCAAACTTTCTTTCGCAACTAATTATGACGAGTTTGTGGCACCGAGAAGGTTATCTTGAAGGTTGGCTCTGAAATGATAATTCATCGAACGAGCAAACACACCCGCTGTATGATGACGTCATATAAAAAGCTTAGAGGTAGCAAAGCTAACTACGGATGCAATTACTTCTGCTGCATCCAAGTACTGCGTATGACGTTACTTCAACAGTTCGTGAGTCCAAAATTGACTTTAATGGACGCGCCTAGAGATCCGGCCTCAGTGAGCCTTGACACAAGCATGAGCGGATCCAATTTTGGCGGCCACACATGTACAAGTGGGGTGCACGATACGTGAAGACATGCGATATTTGTCAGCGCGTGAAGGGTGTGCGGCACACAAGTGCTACTGCAGAGTTTCCCTGTTCCTATTGTCTATTGTAAGTCATTCGGTCTCAACTTTATCCTTGGTTTTCCCGATAATGCTGATGGTGCTCGTCTTCATCGACAGACCCAGCAAGATTGTTCGCATCCCTCCATGAAGCGATTTCATCGATGCCGAAGGTTCGGCTATATTGTTCATTGGTCATGTTCTTGGCAATCACGGTGTGCCAGACACCATCGTCTCTGATCGTAATACAAGAATCATAAGTGGTTTCGTTTCGATTTTCGGTGCTCGCGTGGAATGGCTACTGCGGTACACCCGAAGACCGTTAGATAAACATAACGTGCCAACCGAGAGGTCAGCGATGTGTTGAGAAGCTTCCGTAAAATCTCGCAGAATGGAGGTTGTTTCACCATCGGTAGAGTTTGCTATGAGCAATTCGGTTCATTGTTTGTGCGATTGGTGGTGTCTCTGGGGTCAGTGGAGGAGGAGCTCACCAAATCGTTGCCTCATAAACTGATACAATCAATGATGCAAATGTGAAATTGCAGTACAAGGACGCCCTGACCCCTTCCATTATGAGTTGTGTGAATGTGATTACAATGCACAAGATTTACAAAAGGAATACGCAGATCGTCAAGGCAAAATATCTTTATTACTGGGATTACGTACTACTTACTACTGAGAACATATCATACGATGCGGTCTCAAGTCTGAGTATCTCGAAGCTATCACATCGCTCCATCGGTCCATTCCGAGTAGTATCATGCCACGGAAAGCTTACACTATCGACCTGCCAACCTGGCTAAGGACACTTTCAATGTTCTGCGTAGGACCTTCAAGCCCTATCATCACGACGACGTGACTTCCAACCTGGATATCACACAGGGCTATACAAACATGGCCTCAGAGCCACAGCTTCGACGACACGAGAGTCAAAAATTGAACCCCCTTGGCGTCGTCGCCTCAGCATCATCTTATAATTCACGAACATCGTGAAATTCAAAGCCAAAGGAAGGATTGTGAGAGTTGGAATCTTGACAAGAAGTAGATGGCTGCTGATTAGGTTGGCGATGACTTCAAAAGCATATCCACTCGAGCCAGAGCGAGGTACCTTGGGAGGAGGCTCCGCATCATCAGATACGCTAGCCGCGCAAGAGGAGATGTCGCAAAGCCTGCTTCAATCGCCTAATATAAATTCTTGATTGCATCCCCAGGCAATTTTTCATGAACCCATGTAAGATCGCGAACTCTGCAAGTGATCCGTCTCGACACTCGATCGAACACCTCGATTATCTACCGGTACACCAGCAAAAAGAAGTCTCCCCACCTTCGTCAATCGCAATTCCGAGACAGACTAGCATAGAAGAAGCAGAGGGGACATCATCTTCGGTCACATCCCCTCTTTTCGATCGACTCGGAAATTGATTCCTCCATGTCGAGAACGTGGTGGCGGTGAATATCGTCCGCGGTCGAAAGTTCTTAGTGAAATGGCTGGGTTATCCAGCGAACGAAAACACGTGGAAGCCTCGTGGGTCGTATTCTTCGCGATTGCCTCGATATTGCCTTGGCGTTCGATGCGGGTCCAAAAACGGACTCTGGTTAGGGGATTTGCCGCCTCCTTTTTTCTCCCCCCTATCGTCGTGGATTTGACAAATGACCGCACGTGCATCGCGAGCATCTTTGATATCGGAGTGAACCCGATTCTGCGGTGTTAAATGGGAAAATTGAGAGCAAAAGCACATATCACGTATCTCACGTTATACAAATAGTGGACATCCATGGATTCGGTTGCACGTACCCTTGATCACATTAAAGTGTTGATTTCAGAACGTGTGGACGGTATGTATATGAGACTTCAAGATTTTTCTCCAGCACGTGTAATCGGTTCGATGTAGCTAAAAACGCGGTCCGAGATCCATTTGGCCAAAGAGTTTGTCAAACTCTAAGGTGCCATCACCGTGAAACCATTACGACGATCAATTTCATGGTATCGCAAAAAAAGCTGGATGACCGATCTCGTCAATGGATTCTTCATGTCAATCGTCATCCGCTTAAGCTGGTCGTTGATAGATTTTGGCTCAGCGTGTGAGAGTACGACCGACGTGGAACTGGAGCATTATCCAAGCTTGACGGAAAGGCGCCTTTGCATCCTCCGTTCGAGGTGTTTTTTTGCTCTGCGCTTGTCGTCAGCGCAGGTTGTCTTTATTGCTTTTATTCTTTCGGGATCACGAATCCACAAGTTTCAGAGTCGAGAGAAGTTTGAAGATAATATTGTTGAACCCATTCTTGAGTGAAGACTTGTGTGATGGGGTCAGATTCATCGCACATGTTGTGTAAACCACATGTTTGTGTTTGCGTGGTTATGATTAACTATTTATCCAGCTAAGTTGTATATCCATCAATTCCATTATATCAGAAGTGGATGCACTTATCGGTATAGGAAGGTGTAAGGCCTGTGGGCCATAATATCTGTCACTTCACCATTTTTTCTTTGTTCACGTAAATCAACGACATACTGGAAGTGAACAACATGCAGTGAATCGTGTTACCCGATTGAAATTTTCCTCCGAATGTGCGTGCATACGAACGGTCAATTCCTGTCGTAAGAAACCCTAGATACGTGCCTCGCATGTCGCGCAAGGGGTCTTCTAGCACGATGCTTGCGACACGAGATATGAGTCAGCTCACGGAAACAGTAACGCCCGTTATGCACGGCTATGGCGCGTTCCCTGAGTCGCACGCAGAGGTTATGTGCAGCACGAAAGCTGAAGGTTGGAGCGAGGCAACGATCGAAAAATTTCAGGTGCTTAATGCTTAAAAAATGGCGTCTGAAATTCGATCGTGCGACTGATCAAAGCAAATATGCTACACAGCGAGCGGGGTTCAAAAGCCCAAAATGACGCGAATGGGGTGGTGAGCGGCAAAAAACGTAACTAATTACGTGCGATATGGATTGTGCACTTACATTCCCTGCACCATAGGCATGTTGACTGTACAGGCGATTTTGGGACTCGCAACAACGTGGGGTATTGGCAAGGCATGTCAACATTTCTAATTATTTTGTCAAGGTCAAAAAGAATAATGACCTTGAGATGTTGCGGCATGTCCCGAGCAATATGAAGATTGAAATCGAACAGCTTAAGCCGCTTGTGTCATCAGCATCAATGATGTCGCACTCGACCTATAGATGAGCATTTGTGGTAAAGAGCAGGAGAGCTAATTGCGCTACATGTGAGACTCACTAAGGTATGTGTAAAGCGGGGGTACCAGTGACATGCGCTTGTACTTCGGGTTCGGCATGAAAAAGAATATAGCAGCTGGCTTCGACGTCGACGACAATTTTGTTACAGCAACAGGATCTGTAAGCTGCTAAGCATATTATCCTGGCAATGGCATCGCTTGATCAGGAATACCATACAGATGTCAGAGTCTTTTGGTATAAGAGTTAAGACACGCGATGCTCACTTCAATGCTCTCGATCAGGAGTGATATATCGGCAATCTGGTGTGAGCACTCAGGCAGGAATCCGCAAATGCTACGCGTACACAAATTGGTGACGATTGCTACGGCAGAGCTATGTGCTGCATGTCAACGACGGGGGAATGCCAACTATTCGCTTGAGTCGATCGCTCGTTGGCAGTTTGCTACGGACAGCAGAACGTTTACGCCTGAAAGTTGCAGCCGCGAGTCGCAAAGCAATGCTGCAGACACGCTCGTCACGCGTACGAGACTGGAAACTGGCGTATACATTTCTACGTATTGAAGTAGTAAAGTAATGGGGCTTGAATTGTGCACAGTGTCTGATCGCAGCAAACCAATGACGCTCGAGTCTTACAGTAATGCTGACTTTGCCGCATACAATGGAGACAGGAAGTCGCTTACAAGTGCAGTTCAACTATAATCGGAGTGTCCGTGAACTGGACAGAGGCGGCGTGACCAAATTTGTTGCTACATCTGAGATGGCACGCGAGCTTCTAAGTGCTGGAGAAATGAGAGAGTTGCGCCGGCTCTGCCCATCTAGATGTACGTGGATAAATGAGCAGCGATTCTCAGATCAAAGTAGAAGCCTTGTCTCTGTATAGTGCGTTTTAAGCTTGTTAAAAATTTTGCTTGACGGGGCGCGGTGGAGATATGCTATGTCCTTCGGAGCTTATGCTCGCGACTTTATCAATCAAGGCCATGAACCGACACAGACTAGCAGATTTGCAAGCACTTGTAGGATTGCGCTAAGTGTGACAGCGGAGTATGATCGCAAGGATGAATGTTTAAAAGTAGGCTCTGATAAGGTTGTATGTTCCTCGAGCGAGACCAGTAGGCATATGATGGCGTCAGGGATGACACAACTTTATGACGCCCGCAATGACGTGATAAGAAAGGCTTGGAGGTAGCAAATTACACTAAAGACCTTAATTGCAATCAATTTCAAGGTTGTCATCTACTTGGCACGATTTTGTTTTAACAGTCGGAAATATTAATTTGGGCAGCCCTACGGCAGTATAAGGGAGAACTTCGCCGCAACTCGCGCATGACGAATGCTTTCCACAAGGTCTCTCGCAGGTTCGTCAGACTCTTCTACACAAAGAATCTACCAATATGCTCAAGTCAAGCTACATGACTTCTATTTTGCTGATGTATTTCGTAGTCACACTTCATGGTCGGGACCATTGCAAACATAGAAGGAATATGCCGATCGCGCCATCACAATGATCTGCATCAAAGCGCGAAAGGGATTTATCTGCACGAAGGGTAGAGAAAATTTTCGTCTGTAAGCGTGAAAATGTTCATCATATCACTGTAAAAATACGATAATTTCGATTTTACAGTAATGTTCATTATCATAGTTGCATGCGACGATGCGACATTGAGCGAAAGCTTGTCGAAAGCAAAAGATAGTCTCAAGGGCGGTGATACGGTACACGAGCACGAGCATTCCTGCTAGTTTCAGCGGTCAATCAGCACGAGTGTTGTGCCGCATGGAAATTGGTTCACGAATATTTGATGAGCGCATTCGATTAGAAAACGAATATCATACTAAGAAAATAGGTAGAGGTGTTCAATGTGATCGTATAAATGCTGAGTCTACTTCTTTATGGTCATCGAAGATAGGATGCTATAATCAACACGATCGTCTAAGCTCCATCGTTCCACATAAGATTTTATTGCAGTCGCAATTTCTCAGCTGAGCTTTCAACAGATAGTGTGGGGCAATATAATCTGCACTTGTACGTAGCAAGGTAAGTACTCGAACGTGGAGGGTGCTGTTGGAGACGTTGGTGACGTGTCTGCCGACTCGTACCTAAGCCACCATTTACTCCAAGGCAGTAATATGGGTATAAGCGCTTTTTCTAACGGGATTGCCGCATTTGGTAAAAATCATATATATATATTATTACATTGGAAGATTTGACTCGACGTGTTCGCATAAAATGGCGCACAGAGGATGGTATCGTACACTTCAACCAGACATGAATTCGAAACCACTTGAGTAGCTCAACACCCGAGTGATATATATTTGGAATCTAAGCACTACCTTTGATGACAAAATCAAAATGTACTGTATAGCCTGAGACTAGTGCCTCACTGACAGCTGCCGATGGGCATGAACGATTTGTCGGTTTAGAGTCTCTTGGACATGCTCTTGACGGGTGACTGCTACACCTGCTTGAAAATAAGTCAATTCTAATTCAAAACAAATCATGCGTCAAAACTTTCGTCGCGACATCTCCAATTTATAACACGATTATTATTATTTGCATGAAATTGGCTTATTGTGCTGACAACTGCGCTTTTACATCGCTCTAACATGAACTCTCGCATGTCATGATGGTGATGCCGCCAGTTGATAAGGCGTGAGATCAAATCTCCGCGTCGTAGTCCAATCTTCTGTGTGAAGAAAGCTACAAACAAATTGCTAGCGCAATTTTAACGCTCTCAACAAATTGACAATTACGATCAAACCTCCTCAGACTCAGGTTCTACGCAAAGGTATGATTCAGGATAGAACGATTGGGAGTGTTGATCTCAGTGCGGTCAATCTGATATTCTATGATACACCACTAACTGCAGTCGGTACCCCGATTGGAATGCTGTATGCCACAGGGTTTCAAGAACGCTCCCGCGACTTTCAACAGAATGGAAACACATCTTCTTCGTACATTGATAGCGTCTTCGCGAAGTACTTTGACGATTTATTTGCTAAAGTCTAATGCCGATGTTCATTTTGATCATCTTCGTCAAGTCTTCCAGGTAATTCGAGATAATAAATTCTACGCTAACCGGATAAAAGTCATTCTCTTTGCACCTGAAATTCCCGCTCTCGGTAGCTTTGTGGGCGAATATATTGTTTGCGGTAAAGTCAAACTATTAGTGATTGGTATTTGTCAACTATTTGCACACATACGCGCGCAATTATGCAGCGTTAGTGTAACCTCAAACAAATCCTATCGATGAGAATGTTGATTGATGATGATCAAAAGATGACCAGGCGGTATTTGTCGAAGAAAAGAAAGGCTTGAGGAAGACTCTTGTCCTTGCGATTTCACACCACGATAAGCATTTTAATGTTGTCTGTGACGCAAGTGATTATGCCGTTGTTTGTGCGATATTGCAACATAATGATGAGGGTTCAGAGCGAATTGCTTCGTATAAGTCGCGATAACTCCAGCCCAAGGAACGAAACTAACCAGCTCATGAAGAGAGCTTCTAGCGATAGAGTATGCCTTGATTAAGTTTCGTGAGTGCTGGCTTGGAAGGTGCGCTTTGCGATCTATACAGATCGTGCCTGGTTAGGCGGCGAGAGCACTCCTAAGATGTCGCAGAGAATGTCTCAATGATTTCTTTGCGCTTGAAAATTGTGAATCAGCAAGTGTAACGAGGTCTCACGTGCCTTGGTATGAAGAGTTTGGCTCACACATGATGGTGTGACCTTACGATGATGTGGCTACATTTAAACGAAAAGTCAGTACGTGGCTGGACTGTCAGTAGTTATACATTCAAATAGATTTTACAATATTGATAGGCAAAACTATAGATTAGGATGTACGCGGCTTTGCCGAAAACAAAACCGAGAAAGACAGTCTACGTTTTTACGGAAGATTCATTTACGCTTGTCTTAAGGTTGTAATTACTTTTGGAGTAAGTGGATTGCGATCCGCTAAACTCGTGCTGGTTTTAAGTATGGAACGATGGTCACCAAACTTAACCAACTACGGCAGCCCCGCTGCACTTGGTTGCACTCGTAGTCAATCTACACCTGAGTCGTTACGACGGATCCTCTGTGAGGATGGAGCAGTTCTCTTATTTGCTTCATGGCATGCAAGATGAGCTTAGAAAGCTGATGCCTCTACTTGGCCCTGAGTGCAGCGGGGCTACCGTAGCTCTTTGCTTGGATAAAGCTAAGCTAAGGTCACCGACCTTATGTCTTTCAGAGAATTAGTGTAAGTGTAGCAAATCGCAATCCGCTACTAGTAAGTACTAAAGCTTTACGAACACTTCTGCTAAAAAACAAAACTGTATGTTAATTGTTTTATCTGCGGTAGAGCCGCCAATCTCTAAGGCTCTAGGTTATCCTGATTATTATAGAAACACCTAACTAATATAGTAATATGCACTACTACTGGCAATCCTGCCACGTGGTGGCTACTTGTTACGATGTGATCGCACCACTGGGTGATTATACTAGCTGTGTAATACACACCTACGTACGGTCGCACAATCTTTCGCGACCAGTCCTTTTTACAAAGGTACATGTAACCCCGTTACACTCCCATCATTAAATTTGTAAGTATCCTCAATTTTCATTTAACAGTCGCCTCATACAAGGCTCGCGTGTCTGAGACACCTTCACGTTCATAAGAACAACGTTAAACCTTCTACGCTCTATATGCACTGTGTCTGCGACACACAAGACACGCCTGGCTGGTTCCGAGGTCGCCCGCGTGCAAAGCCCTTCTTCTTCTGCACAAGGTGCATCTTTAGACAGTACATCCGCGGCCTTACGGGAAGCACATCCCAAACACCCGGAAACCGAACGCAACACAACGCGCCCGCCTCGGGCGACGAATTTTCTCACCAAGGTATTGGAGGAAGTCGACTACGAGTCGGACACTCATTTCCCAGCATGAGAAGACGAGGAGGGTGAGGCGCGCCAACGGTGCGACGTGAGCCCATCTTGAACCTTACGGATACCGAGTCGGCTCCCCGATCACTCAGCTTTCTGAGGAGTGGTATTATTACCAATCGCCTCGATGAAGCATAGGTGCAGCAACTGGAAGCTGCTCACAGGGCGGCCCCCCTGCGCTAGTAATTACGTTCGGTCTGAGAATTTAGAATGGAATACGTCTTCCGCTCGACAGATCCCGCTACTGAAGCGAAAGCACTGAGCTGAGACGGTCAATGTGCTGAATATCGAAGTATCCGAGTAGGTGAACACCGAGAGTGTATCGGACAGGAGCCCCGAGCACGGCTCGCGGGCTAAACCTGTAGCAGCACGCAACCCACTGAGCACTGCCCAGGTATAGAAGCGGTTGCTACATGCCACGAGTGGCATGGTCGGACGAGGTCCGAGATATCTTGGACAAGGCACTTTAGGTGCGCGTAGATTGGCACGTTATCCGCTGGACGAAGACTGCGGAGCTAGCAGCTCTTCGTAGGATATTGTTCATATCATCAGGGATGCTGTAGAGCAGGAAGTGGAGCTGATACTGTACGATGTTGGGTGCGTGTTGCCACGGGCCAAGCCGAGACGTACAACCTCTGTGAATAGGTGTTAACGGTATGACAGGTAAGAAAGTCGGCGATATCACCCTCGAGGTAGTTCCTAAGGTGGAGGCTCTTCTTGAGCCGGACGAGATTCCCTCGAAGAGTTCGACGATGTCTTAAAGGCATACAACTTAGCCGAAAAGGTCATTTTACAGCCGAAAGAGGAGATCAAATCATCGTGGCTTCTGGATGAAGCTGTCCTAGAGGAAACCAAGAGGGTGCTGAGCACAATGAATTTCAAGACGTCGAATCCGAAGATCCGCCGTCGATTCCACCTCCGGACCAAGGTGTGCGGCATGAGATCGACCTGGTTCCGGGAACCAAAAACTGCATAACACGCCAATGGCCCATGCCTCAGGAGCATTGCAATGTCATTGACGCCTTCTTTTCTGTGAAGCACGCCGAAGGAATGGTGCGTGCGAGCAAGTCTCCCTATTCAACACCCACGTTTTGTGTCTGGAAGCCGAACGGCAAGTGGCGTATCGTTTAAGTTTATAATAAGCTCAACGCTGCCATCATTCCGACACAGACGCCAATTTCTTGGAAGGATAATCTCATGAACAATATGGTTTGATGTACA